GAGGAGCCAAGAGTGCACACCATCAAACTGGTCACAAGTATATTTAACAAGGAAGCAAAGGGTCCTGCATCAGTATCCTTATGTATGAACCCATGTGAAAGTCTTCATAACTTCCTGTAACTTCAAATACACCCAGCATCACATCTCCCTGTTAATACGCCATTTTCACTCCCAATGTAGCTACCTTCAGAAGCACAACCTTCACATACTGAGTTCTTCCATCCTTACATCTTGGATATTCACAGTCTAGTCTGCTGTAACATCAGTAGCTAATGTTCTGCACCATCTACTCTCAGTCTGAAGGAGATGGGAACAGTAAGTCTTCCTGTCTCTCCACCTTCCCCTGCTCCTCTGCTTCCACAGTATGCATCTCTGCACCCTAATCCCAGAAGTACCCCATTCCCACCAAAGCTCAATGTCCCTGCACATAGCAATCCATGCTACCTGCTCCCTACAGCTACTTATACCACAGGTTCCTCAGTCAAGCCTCACTCCTTCCCACCTTCAGATACTACAGCTTGGTTTTTGGTATAGCTTCTCACACCTCTGCACTGTAACATCACCAGCTCTTCTCTGATTCCACTTCCTGCACCTGCCAGTTAGACCATCCTCTTCTTACCCATAAGTCTCCATCCAGCTGCATAATTACTGTGTTCTGCAAAAGTAGCTTCAGCCCTGGGATGTGGCCATCATACGGCCACACACACCAGGTTTGCTATTGCACAGAACAAAGGGAAAGTCGGAGGGCATGACACCTACATACACCACTGGAGAGCTGGTCCTGACTACAATCAGGTGTTATGTCTAGTATCAGCTAAAATTGCTGCAGGAGAGTGAAAGAGATGCAGGGTCCAAAGGTGCTTACTCTTGCAAGTTAAACAAAATATTGAACTAGGGAGAAGTCCTGAAAGTTTTCAGAAAGCTTAGTTTCCCTGGAGGAAGGATGACAGCAGTGGGGGCAAAGCAAGCTAGTTGACCTGTCTGATTGACCTCCATAGCTGTCTTTCATGTTAACTGTGAAGTGACAAGCTTTCATACAAAACCCACATCATCTTTGTTAACAGAAGCGGAACCTCCCACCACAAGACTATCTGGTCACACTGTTAGAGGATCTTATAGCTTTAACCAGTATTTTCTTCAGGTAGCACCTTACTAGGGGAAACATTTGGCTAGTTGGCTGTTTGGTTTTTTTTTTTTGAACATTTAACTACAACCTCCCTGAGCACATGCAAGACTCATTTTGGTTGTATGGCCCTCCAGCAGAAAGGCTCGTGCTGCATTCACCAAATGCACTGGTAGCAGACCTGTTTCCAAAGGCCAAGTAAGGGAAAAGGCTCTAATAATGAAAAGCCCCTAGTGCATCAGGGATTCCCAGCACCAGGTAATACCTCAAAATGGAGGCTATGAACACAGACAGTGCTGAAAGGAGTCTAGTCCTCTCTGCAATAGATAAAATAGCTTTAATCAACTCTGCCAGATGGTGTTGACCTTAGTTATAAACATGATTTCTAACACATATCAAGCCACCCTTGAACTTAGATTAACCCAGTCATCAGCTGACTGCCCATGGTTACTATATAATTTAGTGGGGTTTTTTAATATAGAAGCTAGCACAAACAGACTGAAGGTTCAACTGCCTGAACTCCCTAACACATACCACTTTAAAACTATCATCTGCATCTGAAGCTGCAAGTTTTCAATATTTGCTTTGACTCAGAGAGGTAGCTAGTGTGAAGACGAAAGCTTCGGCAACATGTGCTTTTTAACATTTTATATACCCCACTAGCTTCTGCTATAAAAGGCATTACGTCCCATAGTCAAACCCTGTTACATGAGTCACCCATCTCAAGGCCATATACTCAAACCAGCGGAAGTATTGCTCCTACTGTCCACTAGCAGGGACTGGAGATGGACCTGTAAAGCACCCTGAAAGTAGCCATTCCTCAGAAGGTAGTCAGTTTCTGAACAAGTGTGTTAGGAAAGGGGCCACATCTAGGTAGCTGTCATGTTCAAACTGCTTTACAGATGCCACTCATAGAAGCTTTTGCAGGTAGTGGAAGGGGTTTTCCTTTTTGTATCAGAGAAAAATACAAATCTGCTTTACTGAAAAACAGAATTAATCCAGAAATCCTAGTTGCACTTACTTGAATACTCTGGTTGTTGCTGATGTTGATGATGTTAACATCTTGTCACCATGACCGCTGAGTCCATGCTCTCCATGGATAAGCACCAAAACCGTTCTTTTAACTACAGCAGACTTAATCAATGGTCATAGTTGGGAGGATAGCAGAAGCCTAGTCCACTTTAAGTTAAGCAGGCTTTTCCTCCAAAGCCAGGTCTAGTGGCTCTCCATTTTTAATTCGTTCCAGCCTGTATCAAAAACCTCAAAGCTTACTGAAAAGTTCACCCCTTCTGTCCCTTCATAAACAGAGAAGGGGAAAGGGGAAGAGATGCAAACCAGAATAAGAATTTCAGGTTGAACTCAAACACCACTCCACCTCCAGGACCTGCACAATAAGGCATTTCATTCACCTTAACTTTAAGGAGCTTTCTACATTCACAGGTATTTAAGCTGTGGTCACAAGAATTAGTATGCTCATGTGTCACATGTTAACACCTTAGCAGTCCCACAGGGGAAGTCTGACATGCTTTACATTTATGGAGTGAACTGCCTATAGAAGAGCATAGTCTAGAAGACAAACCTGGATGCCATAAAGCATCACTCACTGGACCCTCAGTCAGATCAAAGTGACACTTCAAGCAGTTCAATATGCAAGACTAGCCCAACAGGATTTTTCCTGAAGAGCTCACTAAGTTCGTACAGAGAATGTTTTTGCAGATCTGGGTTCATAAGCTACAGCTCACAAATGCTCTATTGTTGCCTGTCAACCACACCAGCTGCTATGCACAAGACCACATACTATTTCATCACTAGTAGAGTATTCCCCATGTGTTGGTCTAGGCTCTTTTACTATTCTGTATCAAAGCCACAGACATGTTTGTATTCACAGAACCATCCAAACAATGGCATGCTGCACTAGTATACTGAACAAGTCAGACAGCACCATAAGAAGGGAAATACTTATGCCAGCAAATCCTGTAACTTAAGTACAAGAAGGGGCTCTAGTAATTCTTTTCAAGTCAAGAAAACTGGAGTTCCATGTTTTCCGAGCACATTAGAACTTAGGCCAACATCTACTAAGCCACCTGGTCCCCTACACACTGGCAGTATGTAAGACGAGCTGGGACTCCTAAATTTGGGTATCGTAGCACCCTCTTATCAGTTTGAGAGCTAGAACATGACATTTCCTTTAGATTTGAAAGGGAGACGAGCAACAATCTGTCATAACATGAAATTGCATCATCTCCCTTCTCATTCTGACTATATGGGGCTTTAGGTCGCACAGTTATTTGTCCCCTCCCTTCCGTCTCGGCGAGCCTTCCCTCCAGGTTCCCCCTTCACGCCGCAGCGGTGAACCAGGCTCCCCTTGCCCGAGCCGCCCCGGGACCCAAACTGTGTCCCCGGCGCACACGTGCTCTCACCG